TGTATAATATAAGGCAGGTGTCATGCGTCATCAAAGTACAGTCCACACTATTTTATTATAGCCCTATCTGGACTCCTCCACCCCCTAAAACTGACTAATTCATCCCAAAGAAAAACTGAAACTCTTGATAGTTATTTTAGCCAAGAGTAGAACATGTTAGAAGTTATAACAGCCAACATCACCATTAAATAAAAAACTCCTACATTTTGATGATAAAGACAACTTGGAGACAATGCTTCTGAGCCGATTAGTAAGTAATTCTGCTGTATAGTGTTTTAAATCCATATATTCAGCTTTTGTGACTTAAAATGAACATTATATTTAAGGTATACATATCTATGTATACCCATATTGTATATGCACAGGATCATATACAGTAGCAACCAGTTTCAGGCCATGACAAAGCTCCAGCAGTGGGTTAAAAGTCTCTGCAAAATTCGGACTGGTTCATCTGAAGTGTCATGAACATTTGAATAGGTTGTAAGTGTTGGGGCTGCAAGATGATTCGAACCAGTTGCTGAAGCTCCAACAGCATGATGATAAAAGCCTTTTCTGTGCTGTAATCAACTTTGCAGCCCACACAGAGGCTGGGGGGTGAGTAAGCTGAAAAGATGAATAGGTTTGCCCCGATCACAGAACAAGCCATACAGTGGGCCAAAGCTTTCCTAGTTTGGCAACAGGAAGAGTCTCAAGATTAAACAGTGGGATCTTTCTCTTGATCAGACCCTTGGCCTGCCCTCCCCACTATCTCTGCACCTGCTAGTCACAGCCACTGATGTATGTGCTCTCTTCTTCCCCTCCCTCTTTTTTCTCTGTCTTTCAACTTTCACTGACTCTTTCTTTTGCTCCCCTCCTCCTCTTTACACTCTTTTCACTGCTTTTGATTATTGGCATCTACCCCAAAACCTGCAAAACCTCCAAAACTGGAATTAATTTCTGCTTCACTTGCACTCACAATCACAAGTGCACATTGTTTCTCATGCTGTTTGCACAGAGATTCCTTAGTCTCCATTTTTTATTTCTTTGGACACATACATTCACAGAAACTTATATTGTCATTCTCTCTTTGACTCGTTCCCCATATTAAACTTAAACACTGGAACTCTGCACAGTCCAGACTAAGCTCAAGCTGATGACTGATTTTCTCAGTTTATCACTGTATAATACATGAAGAAGAAATTCTTCAGAAAGAGTTGATGTTACAGGCATTCTCACTGAATCAAAGAATTTTCAGGTGAGCTGTAAAATGCAGTCTCAAGGCTAAATGAGTGCTAAATGCCTCTACAGTAATTGGAGAGAAAGAAAATGGTATTTTAGGGATGCTTGGGAAATTCTCTGCAGCTAGCAGAAGTGCCTGTGAGGCGCAAGTTAACATTCAAGGACAATGCAGAAGGGTTGATGCTTTGCACCACCAGAGCTTTAATAAAAGCCCTTTGGTTGAAGGACAGATTGTGTAAAAGTAAAACCAACTTCCCACCTTTTATTAATAAATAAACAGATTATATGATACTGTATGACTGGTGTTAATCTACTTTTTTACTGTCAATGAATTGTACAATACAGTGACATTTTCTTTGTCTTTACACCTCTGAATGTTATGAAAGAGTTTTAAACATTCCTGAAAAAAACCTTAACACTCTTTAATGTCTTCTTTCAAATTTGTGAAAACTTTATAAATAATCACAAAAAAGGCCAAGTATAACTTTTTCATATTTCACTGCAGGTGGTTGAGGCCATCCCACTTCGTTGCTCTTTTTTTTGGGCTTTGATCCCAAACATTGTCCTGTTTTGGACGTGAAAACAATTTCTGGTGCATCAGAAAGAAAGAAATAGTGGTTAATAGGAGACCTCAGAGCTGCTTAAATATTAAATGGATGGCCAGTGGTGACACAAAAAACTGAATCTTATATTCTTACAGCTTTGCATTCAAATCCAAATGGCAAATTGTCTGGTCAGTCAGGGGATTTAGGGTCTGAAAAGCCTTCTGCAAATTTCACTTTGTGCAATTCCAGCAATGTTTTACTCTGTATTCATTTGTTGTAGAATTCCTATCATTCCTGTTATTTTTCTTAGCAGTTTGCACATTTGTCATACCCTACATTTTGGCCACTGGTGTTATAGCTACAGTGGAATTGGGCAAACAGATGATTGTGCAATAAGTACAGTCCTGTCAGTGGTTTAACACTATTTGACAGCTAGTGCCACACAATGCAGCAATGTACCAACAGTAACAAGACTGTTAGGCAGCAAATGTGGAGATTTAAAAATGTTCAAATTCTTTAAAAATTACCTCTACAAATGTCTTATCAGGAAAAAAAATATGGATTCAAACCATCTGTCTTGCATTTGTGTAAGAAACAGTTAATGTAAAGTAACTTGGTTTGTTTGAGAATGAAGAAAAAAAAATGCTTGCAGTGTAGGTAGAGGTCATATTAATTCAGTCTTTGTTTATTTTTATATTAATTAAATTATTAACATATTAATGAGAATTTTCTCAATAATTTATTTTTAAAACCAACAAGTGAAACATTTGTGCTCTACTAGACCTATTATTGTAGCAGTATGCTTAAGTGCTTTGGGAGCATCCAGCTGAGTGTGTACATATGTGGTAATCCATTTGTTTAACTTTCTCCATATGACTGGTCAAAAATGTCTTTTTGCTACATATGAACCGATGATTCATTTCCATTTCTGTAATATAGTTGACATTATTTTTTTATTGGTGACACTGGAGAAATGACTGTGTAAAGCAAAACTCAGAGGTCGTGATTAGCATTTACAACATAAGAGGTGACACACAAGGTAAGTTGAAGATTGAATTTGTCATTGTTTCCATATACACCAATCAGGCATAACATTATGACCACAGGCAGGTGAAGTGAATAACACTGACTGTTACAGTGGCACCTGTCAGTGTAGGGGGTGTATTAGGCAGCAAGTGAACATTCGGTGCTCAAAACTGATGTGTTGGAAGCAGGAAAAATGGGCAAGTGTAAGGATCTGAGTGACTTTGACAAGGATCAAACTGTGATGGTGAGATGACTGGGTCAGAGCATCTCCCACACTGCAGGTCTTGGTGGGTGTTCTTGGTCTGCAGTGGTTAGTACCTACCAATAGTGTCTAAGGAAGAACAAATGGTGAACTGGTGACAGGGTCATGGACGACCACGGCTCACTGATGATGAGGTTGACCTACTGTAGATTAAACTTTTAACTTCCATTTGTACTTTTTGAAAGATTAAAATGATTTGAATCTTTGTTAAAATGGTTGAAAATGAGAAATAGTGTACATTGGTCTCTATGAAGAGAAAGAGTCAGGGTCTGTAGTGGTGATATCACACCTAGAGTGGTGATGCTGTTGAATTTGTCTGAAGAATTCTCTCTAACTCATCCTCACGACCACAGTTTTCACTCCTTTTACATAAGTTTTTCACTGAATTGTAGACACACTGTGCTCTTCCTGACAGTACAACTGAGGAAGCAACTGGAATCACAGAAGATGCACAGTGAGCTGCAGAGTGACACTAGTGCCAACTGACTCCTGTGTAAACAATATTAGGCAGGTGGTCATAATGTTATGCCTGATCGGTGTATACAGAAACATGAACATTGCATGAATTCGACTATGGGTGTCACAGCCTGACATTTAAGTGCTCAGATTAATCAGAACAGACTGGGCCACAAGGAGCTGCCAGGTTGGACAGTTAACAATTTTACAAAACTCAGTTTTACTGTATATCCATCTATGTGACTTAACTTCATCCACAGCAGTCCCCTCTATGTAATACCGTGTTGATGATTGCATGCTCCATTCAGCAACCATCAGTCTTTGCTGTTAATTTAAAAAATATGCTATTATTGATGGATGGTACCTTATCTTTGTCATTATTAACACCAAGCAGGATTGTTGTGATGCAGAGTTAATGAGTTCAATGAAGGGAGAGGGGAAAAAAGCACACTGTGTTCTTCATTCACACTGGTAGAATGCACTGCAGTCAGAGGAATGAAGGTGATTTTTGCATCATCTTTGTTCATTTAACTTACTTTAATTCTTGAAATGAGAAGATGCCACATCATCAGCAGAGGAAATAGTATCACATATCGCTTAATGTACATCAGTCTGTTGGACCAGCTGCTAAAAACCATGATTACACAAGCTTCATCTGGTTTGCAGTTTTAAACTGTTACAAAAGCGAATAATGACTAGAGTAGCAGGATAGTGATGGTCCAAGAACCAACATAGACAGTTTACATTGGGTGAAAGTAAACATATAAATAAGAAACATGACAAGCATTTAAAATAGAAAAGAATGGGGGAAAATAAATTATGAGGTGAGTGACTGAACTCTGTCAAGTTGTGAAAGGAAGGGTAAAACCATTCTGCTGTAAAATGTCACTGTGTTAACTTGTGTGTGCATGGGTGCACACATTTAGACACACGTATATTCCAGTTAGGTAAGACCAGATAAAAGCCTAAAGTCTGGTTAGTAGTCAGTGGGAGCTGGTTTTGAGGCTGTGGGATAATTTTTTGCTGTAGATCTTTTCTTTATTTGTATTGGCTATTATGTTTTGTCCCCTTTCTGCTAAACTTTTAAAAAATAGACTCCACATATTTTGCATTGGCTCTTGCCTAAAATCTTTTTTCAGTGTCCTCTTTAAAGTCCTCCACTTCCAAACATCTTCTGCTCCTTATATATCTATAGTTGACAATGAGCATTTCATTTCAGCTTGTGCATCTACACCATCAGTCAGGCAGTCACCCAGTTGACTGCCCACCCAGTCATGGCTCAGCAAAACTATCTTCAGTGGACTTAGATGATATGCAAATTTATATGAGAGGGCAAATGTAGCCTGCAATTAAATTAGAAATGATTATGCTTTTGGTGATGGGACCTCTGGGGCATTCTGGGTGCATGTCCTGTTGGTAATCTATACTTAACCATTAATGAATCACTGGTAAAGTTTAGTGATTGACTAAAGCGCGCTACAGCGGCCAGCGACATTACAAGACCCACACAGTCAAAGAGGGATGTCAACTAAATAATCATGTGATTCATTATATGCGAGTAAGAACAGGCGTTTGTCTCCCACACGCTGAGTGCCCGCCGGTGTATCACGTCCCCCTCGCTCGCTCTGCTGCTCTCTCATCCGCCGGGCTGAGCGACTAAAGCAGCCTGACAGATAAGAGCTAGGAGGGAAGAGGAAACGGAGCCACGGAGGTGGTGAGCATCAACATGGGGCCGAGACTGCTGCTGCTGGGGCTCGCGTGGGTCCTTCTGGTCGTCCATACAACCAATGTTCGATGTCTAAACGGCGACGAGGACCAAAGCCAGGACACGGAGTGCAAGGTGAAAAGCGTTACCGTCTCGGCGCTGCCGTTTCTGAGGGAAAACGACCTGAGCATCATGCACAGCCCGTCGGCCTCCGAGCCCAAGCTGCTGTTCTCCGTAAGAAACGACTTTCCCGGAGACGTCGTGGTGGTGGACGACCTAGAAAACACAGAGCTCCCCTTTTTCGTCTTAGGTGAGTTTTTACAACAGGGCTGCCTGCGCTGTTCCTTAGCCACTAAAGCCGCTGAACAAATTAAGCCCCCATCTCTTTATTGTTACACCGGAGCTTCTGCCTATTAGCTTAGCCCTGGCTACATGCCATGTTCTCACTGTTTTGAAATCAGTATAGGTTACTGGCTATAGCAACAACACATACAGGAGACCTAAAGCAGTCTGATTTATATACAATAAGTTGTTGTTCAGTGGTCGATAATTAGCGACTTCGATAGATAACAGTGGCGGGTTAAATGAAGAATATAATTTAGCTGAATATATAAGCTAGCTCTTATTATTACAGTAATAGGCCGCATAGCACCCCAATGCTAACCGAATTGCAGTTTTAACATTGTGTTATAGTCAGCAATAAGTAGCTACATCTGTAGGAGCCTTCTGTTACATATTTCCCCTAGTTTACACACGTGGCTCGGATAGGCACGTGTGGAGGAAACTGCTTGCTAGTTAACAGGATAGTAAGCATGCAGCCAGCGTCCTCTGAATTCACCAGTTTTGTTGGTTGTTTCGGCGAACAGTGAGTTTGGCAGCAAGCAAAGTGGTTTGTGTTGTTGGCTGCTGTCCATGGTGCTGAATCCCCTCTGCAGCCGCCGCCGCTGCTGTGAGGACTCCCCTCTGTTGTTGTGAGCACTGAGAGGGGCTCTGTGTTGTTTCCAGTGCCAAATTAAGGCACCTGATCATCTCCGAGTCTTTGGATGTGCGTGACTGTGTGGATTTAGTGATTGGGATACATTGCTTTGGATACGCTATTGGGCCAAGTCAGAAATCAACATGAAAGCAGCTACAAAGCAGGTCTGGCTTCTGGCTCTGCTGAGCTGCTTCATCTGCCCATGTGTGTTTGTTGTCACAAGTCTGTTAGAATTTTCTTTTCGTTCATACATTTTACATACTAATTGTGCAGTGTCTTTTTGATGTCTCATTTTCATATATGCAATGTACAGTGAATGACTCCTTTATAAAAGTTGCCATATACTTTATATTAAATGATAAACAGAAATACTGTATACACTCATAGGTACAAAACCATAAGATGGGCCTTGTCAGGCAGTTGTTAGTATCCTTTTAGCTGAGTCTGTTGCTATTTAACAGTGGCATGGCTGACACACATGCTCTGCAGACTTTCTCATAAATAAAATATTCATAGTGATGTTTAATTTATGCAGAAATCTGGACCTTTCCCAAACATTTTTGAGGCTGTAGCTTTGTCAGAGAGCACAGAGTATAACCTGATGAGAAATGAGGAGGGACTGAGAAAAGGGGGGTGTCATGTGAAAAGGGTCTTTAGCAGGATCTCTAGGGCTTGAAAAAGATTACACGCCAAGCATCTTAAACTCCTAGACCACTAGGATGACTGTGGGAATTTGACTTTTCAGTAAGCATGCAGTAGTCTGTGTCTAATTATGTACACGACACTAAACTAACACACCAATAAAAACTCTGCAAACTGAACTGATTCTAGGTTGTCAACACCGATCTGTGGTAAGCCCAAAGCAGTGACAAGCTGAAAATTATTATGAGGCATCTCTTAAAACTCAGCAAATCCAAAGAAAACCAAGTTAAGCCAAAGTCATAATGGCTTAAGTAAAATTTCTCAATAAAATAGTTTTGTTATCACCAAGTAGGCATAAGTATTGTTTAGAAGTTTTTGTTAGTTTTGAGGACTATAAACATGTTTTCACCCATTTTTATCACTTAAAATATATGCCTAACTGCCCAGTATATCACTGTCAAAATCAAGTACATTGCCTAAAGTGAATGCTTTCTAAAGACAGAAAAGGTTCCTGATTGAACTTGAGACATGTCTGAATGAGAAATAATAATAAAAATTTAAACATATGGCCAAAAATGACATGCACATCTGCTAATTTACCGTAGTAATGATTAGAGTATTCTCATCATTAGTTAGTGTCATTTCATTTTTCCAGTTAATCTGTTTGTCTTTAAAATATTAGAGAACAGTGAAGCATGTCCATCCGAATTTCTCAGATCCAAAAATGTGGTTTTCAGATTGCTGATTTTATCCAACCAAAAGTTCTAATCTCAAATATATGATGCTGACAGTGATGTAAAAAAAAATGCAGCAAACACAGCATGTGAGATGTTTTTGTGTGTGTGTTTGATAAATTTGGGGCTACAACTAAATGTAAGTCTGCAACTAGCAAATGAATTCATTATCAGTTAATCGAACTATTCATTTCTTGATTATTATTAGGCCTATTATTAAAAATCAGAAAAAAGTGAAAACATGTCCATAGATAGTGTTTTTGTCTAACAAAATATTGAGTTTCCTTTCAGGTTAAATAAATAAAACTAAGAATACTCACAAATGAGAAGCTGAAGCCAGACAGTTTTATTTTTGCTTGAAAGGCTACTCAATTGATGAATCGTTTATCAGATTTGTTGCAGATTATTTTATTGTTTGACTAAACATTTAGTTGACTAATTGTTGCAGCTCTAGATAAGTGACAAACAATTAATTCAGCCACAAAGAACCTGCAGATAGATTGAATTATTTCAGCACTAATTCAGCTTTCAATACCTGAAAGTGTTTCATACTTGTTGCTACTTACACTTTTTATATTTTAATTTAGTTTCCATACCCAGTTGTATATACTGTAGGAGCCACTGTTAGACATAAAAGCAAGTAAGGAGAATTTGAACAGTGGTCCTGTTTTATTTGGGGAAACATCCACAAGTATTGTTTATTACTATACTGTACATGTCATGAAAACATTAATTCGTTTTTTGTGTTGACCCAGCAGGAGTAACGTGGTGCTGTCGAGAGCCAAAATAAAATAATTCAGTTATATTTTTCTGTACCTCAGAAAGTGCTGTAATATATAAAGTATACTACGAGTCATTCAGTTCAATAGGAACATGTGTCCAAACCTTTGACTAGTGGTTTCTAATTTCTCATTTTGAACAGACAAATGGAAGAATCTAATACTGTAGGTTCATCTTATGAAGGTCCCTAAGAATGTTTGCAATATTGCTACGCCATAAGTTCACGATGCCTCTCTGAATAGTTTGAATAGTTCATTTCAAGGTATAATTTAGACAACAGTTAATTCATTAAGGGGTGGAGGGAAATAAGCTAAAGTCCCTCAGGACTGGTGCTGCATATTAATGAGTTTGAGCTTGTGTGACATTTCCTTACGTAGCATTCTGCACTGGAAACAGAAGACTTTTAATGAAAATTCACACCAGGGAACCCAACACAATTCTGCATTCGTAATGCAAGTAACATCCCTGCTACCCATATATAAACACTGGAGCAGCTGCAGCTGTCTTTAATTTATTTATTTGATTTTTTTTTTCATTTGTTGCTGCTTGATTTCCTTTGCTGTTTAACAAAACTCCCTTTGAGAAATAAAGCTTGACTGCTTTGAATTACAAACGAGAACCATCACTAGTTCTATATACAGTATGTCTTCTTTGGAAACAAAAGCCCTTTGTGTTAACATTGTGTAGCTGAATTCATTAGTTAAACTGTTGTTTCAGCAGCTCTGTGAATGTTGTTTGTGTAAGCATTAACTCTTCCAAGAGGGTGTTAAGGATCCAGATGTCATCGTCTCTTAGTAGACCACTGCATGGCAGTTTGAGTCTGAGTAACTTCCTTGTGATTAATATGGTACATGGTTCTACTCAGCATGTTTTATATCCCTTTACCCACTGCTCTGGTGTGCAGGACATTATGGCAAGTGCTGGTATCTCTGTGTGTATCGGTGTATAAGCGCATACTGTACTGTAGACCAACCGAACAACAATAATGACAGCATTTTGTCATTCTTGCAGATATCTGCTTGGTGCTTCAGTGGGTAAACTACCAAAATACTTGCCACACTTTGTTGTGATTCTATACAGTCTAATCAGAATTTCTTTTTCAGTTTTACCTCGCTTCACTTATACATATCATAAATGCAAAACCATGGAAAGCTTTGGCAGTGGAAAATAAAAAGCCAGGCCTTGAACATGTCTATCATATACAGAGATCCCCCTGTTTAGGGTCATAATGTTTTTTTTTTCTGTAAAGCGTAGCTTATTTTACTTTGGTTTGCTTTCACCCATCAGTGTTAAATGACACATCTTTCCTGCCATTGTCACTTTCAATCAACATGGAAGTTTGCAGAAGTGGTTTGCAGTGGTGTACCCGAGAATTTTAAGGCTACTACAAGATGACTTCTGGGTCAAGATCAAGGAATGACGAATGATCTGTTAAGGGAATTGGATTGTACACAAAGAGGAAACACACGGTATTCCTATCTAGCACGCAACAATGTGCACATCATTTTGTAGTTACAGTATTTTAGAACAACACTTGCATATTGCCTTTTATTCTCTTGTTTGCATTTCAGTTCTAAATTGTGGTAAAAAGTGTCATCCATAGAGAGTTCTCAAGCCATTCATGCTTTTTATTAAAGTAGAATATTCAGCATACATGGACCATACATACACTGGAAATCCTTGTAGTGAATGATGCTTTAGGAGTGGTGTCAGTAGTATTTGTGGACATTTTAATACTTCCATGAAAATGTGTCACCACTGGAGTGCGTTGCAACTGACATAATTAAACACTTTCAGCCAGGCTGTGTTTAATAGTTAAAGGACTGCCAATCACATACAAGACACTTGCAAGTTTAGATTTAAGACCCTCACCACTTCAGTCAGTTTAACCTGCAGTAATGCTGTTTGTCATTCAGCAAATCCTGCTGGTGCCTGCAGTCCCCCCATCCTCATCCACATCTCATCAACTTATCCTCAGCTTCTAGTAATTATTTTGGTTTTTGAAGATATTAGAGAGAGAAAGAGATCAGACATTTTAAGGAATGTATCAATATTATAATTCCAAAGCTGTAGGCCTCATTTTGAGGAAAAAAAGGAATCTTGTGATTAGGCATTCTGAAATTTACGTTTTGAAATAACACAATTTAAAGAGTGTATCAGGTTTAAATAAGTGCTTGT